GATCTCGATACTCCCCGGATGCCGATGATAATCCCGCTCCACCTCTCCGCTCCTAACGTATCCTCTCATCGGAGATCCTTCAATGACGATTTCAACCGCCGGCATCTGCAGAATTCGGACCTTCCAAATGCTCGAATGCGCCTCTATGACGATCTCCTCACTAACGGGTTAGTGCTAGATTCTTTCTCGCGACTTTACGATCGAATCACTCCCGCCTGATTCTTGTTCTGGACTCTGCCTCTCTTCTGCAGTTACTACACGACTCGGCTGTTTATCGGATCACCACCGCAGGAATTCGCCCTTATTGTGGATACCGGCAGCACCGTGACTTATGTTCCCTGCTCGAGCTGCGAACAGTGCGGCAAGCACCAGGTTTGCTCTTATTCTTACCCTGCCTTGGCTGTTGTAGACAGTTTTAATTCGAGCGATACGAGATATATATCGAACAAATTTTGCAAGAGAAGTCAATTTGGGATGGATTCTGGGGATCATTTTTTCTTTGCTCAATTGGAATCAAATTAGGTTGAATGGTTGATAGCAACATTTTTTTGCCACTCCAGGATCCAAGGTTCCAACCAGAGTTGTCAAACACATATCAAGCTTTGAAGTGCAACCCTAGTTGTAATTGTGATGACGATGGGAAGCAGTGCACTTATGAGAGGCGATACGCCGAGCAGAGTTCCAGCAGCGGCGTGCTTGCTGAAGATGTCATTTCCTTCGGCAATGAAAGCAAGCTCGCACCACAGAGAGCTGTGTTTGGTTGTGAAAATGTTGAAACTGGCGATCTGTACAGCCAGAGGGCAGATGGGATTATAGGTCTGGGTCGTGGTCGGCTTAGCATCGTGGATCAACTTGTTGACAAGAGCGTCATAAGTGACTCGTTTTCTTTATGCTATGGTGGGATGGATGTTGGTGGTGGTGCGATGGTACTTGGTGGGATCTCTCCTCCATCTGATATGGTTTTTACGCATTCTGATCCCTATCGTAGGTAAGATGCTTTCTTAAGACTCACGGAAGCATTTGATTTTTTCATTGATTAGGATTTTAGTGCGTCTCACACATTTACTGTAGTTAAATCCATGGCAACAGTCCATATTACAATATTGAGCTGAAGGGTCTGCGAGTAGCTGGGAAGCCATTGAAGATAAATCCTAAAGTTTTTGATGGACGGCATGGAACAGTTCTGGACAGTGGAACTACATATGCTTACCTTCCAGAAGAAGCATTCGTTGCACTTAAAGATTCTGTAAGGAATCGGAAATTCAGCTCAGCTCTTTATGTATTTAGTCATATTATGCCGGTCATCTTTATTTCCTTTAAGCTGTACCATCAATGATCATGTCTTTTGTAGTTACAATTTGGTACTAGGAGTTGCTTGAATATCTTTTTTTGTTTCTTTGCACACTGGGCTATACTGTACTGGTATTATGCTTCTTCTTCATAGCCATGTAGTCAACCACAAACTGTTTATATTCCTTGGTTTTGTACATTATGCAGCTAAGTTAATTTCAGTGGTTTGTTTCTACGATGGTTCTAGGTTCCATGTCTTCTGGTTAGAATTTATGCTGTATTAGTTAGTTCCATATAGTTGTTAGTTTTGAAACTTTTACTTTCGGATGGTCTTTCAATTTGACAGAATGTGTTGAACAGTTTGCATATCAATTATCAGGAATTTTAACTTTTTGCTGTTGATGAGTTATCAACTTATCACTACTGATTCCTGCAGAAGTTGCATGCATATCTGCTTGTGCTGAACATGTACCCATTGAACCTTGGCGTTTGAGATAAATTTCTTCAGATATGAGGCCTGTTTTAAACGAAAGATCGTTATATGCTCCATAGTTTTCAATTGCTCAAGGATTTGCCTGGTCTTTCTGATTCAGCTACAGTAGGAACATTCTAAACAGCTATGTTCTCATTTCCTACTGTGGTGTCGAAAAATGCAGATAATGAAGGAAATTAGTGTTCTGAGACAGATCCATGGCCCTGATCCAAACTACAATGACATATGTTTTGCTGGGGCTGGAAGGTATGGCCTATTACCTGCAATAATATTGTTCTCGATGTCTTTCATCTTTCTGTCCATTAGTTGAGAGTTGGGGATTAGTCCTGATGTTGAGCTCTTGTTTTGGTTGAAATTTTATCTAGGGAGATCTCTGAATTATCAAAGATTTTTCCAACGGTGGACATGGTGTTCAGCAATGGTCAATCATTGACATTATCTCCAGAGAATTACCTCTTCCGGGTAAGACTTAAGCAACTTCCACACGGTCTTATGACCCCTTTTTTGTTGCTTTAATTATTACCTCTTCTGGGTAAGACTTAGGCGACTTCCACGCGATCTGATGACCCCTTTTTTGTTGATTTAATTTGATTGGTTCTACCTCGCTGGTTCTCCTCTATCACCACTGAGTTTGTTTCACAACTTTCACTTATGCAGCACACAAAAGTCAGTGGTGCATATTGCTTTGGGATTTTCCAGAATGGAAAGGATCCAACTACTCTTTTAGGAGGTAGTAAACACAAATTCACTCGTTATGTCTATCCTCTTGAGTCTTGAGCCTTCAAATCCTGGAAGGATGTGGTAAATGAAAATTCTCTGCTTTTGCTTTTCTTTTACAGGAATTGTAGTTCGCAATACGCTTGTAACATACGACCGGGAAAATGATAAGATTGGATTTTGGAAGACTAATTGCTCCGAGCTATGGAAGAGACTGCAAGTTCCTGGAGCTCCTGCCCCAGCACCTAACAGTTTGCATATGAATAATGCTAGTAACGGGAGTCAAAATGTGCCTCTTGTTCAGCCACCCAATGGGCTACCTACAAAGCACATTCCAGGTAGATTAACTTTTCAGGGCTATTACCAGGGTAATTTATTGAATTTTCTTTAATGCAATCTGTTAGTCTGCGTAATGTTTTCGAATTTGGCTAAAATATGTTGGAGTTTGTCTGAGAATTTTACATCCGGATCTATAATGTCTAGGTGAAGTGAGAATTGCAATTATCACATTTGATATGCTAATCGTGGTCAATGATACCTCCTCAAAGCCCAACCTCACAGAAGTTGCTGATGTCATTGCTCATGAGTTGGAAGTGGACAACTTGCAGGTATCATCCTACTATCTATCTTGCCCTCTTTGATTTTTAAGTTCCTATGAACTATGTTCATCAGGTAGCGCTATTCTTTCTTCTTTTGTAAGTCATTCGTTTTACTTGTGACTGAGAATCTCGTGGCCCGAATCTATGCAACATAACTGTCATAATAGTGTAACTGAATATTACCGAGACAATTCGTGAATTCTCAGGTGCAAATGTTGAATGCCACACTACGAGGAAAGGAGTACCAGGTGAAGTGGGCCTTGTATCCTGCTGCATCAGCAGAGTACATCTCTAATAGCACAGCAATGGTAATCCATAATCACAAGACAATTTGTGCAGAACTCAGTGTATGATATTTATTGAAGCTAATTTCTCTGGTTTGTGGTTTACTTAGAGCATCCTTCTCCGGCTGAAGGAGCATCGCTTGCAATTTCCTAAGAGATACGGGAGCTATCAGCTGGTCGAGTGGAAAGTCGAACCTCAAAGAAAGCTGTACGTCACATTCACATCCCTCTTCCTCCTCCCCCACCTCTAAATTTCATCGCCCCTACCAATACTAAAATGGGTAATCTGGTGATCTTGAATCAGGTCTTGGTGGCAACAGCATCTCGTGGCGGTGGCCATCGGGATATTGGTCACCGTGGTTATCGGTTTATCGAGCCTCGGTGTATGGTCGGTGTGGAGACGTAGGCAACAAACCTTGGGTACATATGAACCAGTAGGTGGGATTGTTCCTGAGCAAGAGCTTCAGCCATTATGATGAATTCCGACGGATTCTACCCGTGACCACAGTTCTTGTAGTACCATAGGGAAAAAGAGAAGCCGGAACTTTCTCAGTCCGGTAATTACAGACATTCGAAGGATGGTGCCCTTTTCCACAAGCTGTTTGTATACCATAATAGGAAACATTCACCATTGAGTTTGCGTAGGGATTTTGGTTGGACTGATAAAGTTCATTAACAGGAGCTGCCTTCTTTTTGTTGATGATTGTATGAATGTGAAATCGTACTGGAAGTTATACCGAAAAAGTTAGTGATATAGTATTTTGTACTAAAATTGTGGTTGAACCATCTCGTACTCTGCCAAAACTGTAATACTGTTTGGTGTCCGGTATTTTAACATTGCTTTTGTAGTTAGTAGGGTTGTATAAGGAAAATGTGTTTCTTTGTGGTCATCTATTATTTGGTTATTGATGTGGGATGTTACTGGTCGGAAGGTCGACATTGACTTTATATTTATAGTATAATTTGTTGTCAAATTTTTTTTTTTAAAACCGTACTTGATGTTGGACCGAATAAGTCATTTTTAAATTATTTTGTTCTTATATCGTGTTTTAACAGTTTTATTCCTGTGAAAATTCTATAACAATTTTAAAAATTCTTTATCTTGAAGTAATAAAAGTGAGAAGTATTGAGGGGAGGGGACCAGGGCAAAGTACGAATAGTCCATACACGAAAATGCTCTGCTCTGTGGCCTTTGCATCATCGTACACAGGAAAAGTCCCAACTCCCACATGATTTGTTGCAGTTGTTGTTGGACAATAATATAACATCCAACCAACCAACCAACACTCTTCAATCCAACTCCATTTCCCCTTCAATGAAACAAAGTAGCCATGTCCACAAAAAGCTAGTAGCCATATGGAGAAATAATAATAACAGTCATAGTCGATTAATATACCCATATATTAAAACGTTGCATCAATTCTTTAATGGAGGAGGATTGACCGATGAAAGGTACAATATTGGATCTTTAATTTTCAGTAAAACGAAGAGCGCTATGAATTATAATTTTTTTTTTTGCAAACATGTACTTTATGTGTTGGAAATGAAAATGATGATTTATTAACTCTTAATAGTTAATACTCTTCTTTCCTCGAATAAATTCATATATTTGACTCATAATCTCAATTTCCTTTATCAAAACTGCCTGCTAAACGAGCGTTTCTTATACTTCCGTTTGAATTCGAACTTCATGAGAAACACCTTTCTCATCATCACCGTTATGTTTCATCTTATGTCTCGATCTAATCTATACCCAAATTACCATATAGCTAATTACTTATATTCATAAAACAGGGAAAGTATGCTTATGTAGTAAGCAACACACAAATCACCCAAAACACACACAAGAAGAAGAGTGAACCCAAAAATATCAACAAACAAACAAACACCCAAAGTCCCCCAAAACATACTCATATTGAGCCATAACCAGTTTTTTACTTTTTACATAAAACAGAGTAACTAATCACACATGACAAAAAAAATTTAAGGGCACTTGGGCTTGCCCTTGGAGTTCTTCAAATCCCTGTAACAAGGGCACTCGTGCTTGTTGCCGTAAGTCCCAGAAGGCACGCACTGGCACTTGTCGCAGCAGATCCCGCAGTATTTGAGGCACCTGTCCATCACCCCTGCTTTCGCGCACCTCGCCCCGCACTTGGAGTCACAAATCCCTGTTCGTTTCGTAAACACCATTTACATTTCAAGAACCAGAAGTAGTACAACAAATTGCTTAGAAATGGCAATCTGTAGTAGCTAATTGATTAGTACCTGAGCCGGCGGCGTCTGTGACATCGAAAACAGAGGAGGCGAGGAGAAGGCAGAGCAGCAGAAGTGTTGCGGCTGTAGCGGACTTCATTGTTTGAAAGGGAAATGTTGGTTGGTGGCTTTCTGGGTTTTGCTAGGAGGAGGAAAAGAGAAGAGAAGGAAGGAAAGGAGTGAATGTGGAGAAGAGAGAATGGTTGTTTGTATTTATAGGCCGTCGACGGGCCTAAAAGGCCATAATTTGAAGGGAGACTCAGGAGGAAAGTGGCAGCTGCTTGGAAAGGGATGGACCGAACCGACCACATTGCCTTACAGACTGTCTTCTGTTTTTATTTTATTTTTATGGTTCTCTTCTGGGGTTTTCCATGATGGAAACTCTTGTTTCTTTCTTTTTTTCCTTTTGAAGACTACAAGCACTCTCTATCGTCCTAATTAATCTAGTTTTTGGCAGAGTACGCGGTGAAATGCATTTGTCAAAACTCATACGTTCATGTTAAGCCATCTTTGCATTTGAGATTTTGTTGTGATTGTTGTTTGTCTCCATTTAGAAGATAGTTTGAAAGGGTTAATTTAATTGTCAACACGGGATTTGTAAAGTCAGATATCTCATTAATTTGTTCATTTGATATTCAATGTTATTTAAGTGGTAGTTGAGTTAAAATATTTTGTTTAGCTAACCATTTATAATTGAATATCACGTGGTATTTGACAATAATAAATGGTTTAAAATGAGTTATTTCAAATAAATCATTACCCAGTTAATTCATCTCAATAAAGTGTTGCCAAATAATTATTTTTGCTTGGGCAAAAATAACTCACCTAAAAACCGCATTCAAACGACCTATTATAGTATTTGTCCTCTTATATCCTCTTATACAGAGAGATGATTATCAAATAAATAAGTTGAAAGATCTAAACTTATTGTTCGTACTTCACATTTTGCTTCTAAGCCATCTTCATGAGAAGCGGAAATTCATTTGTTAACCATACTATTCAAATGTTAGAATTTTTTGCATAATTTGTGTTTTCATGGCAAGCATAAATTTTCACCTTTACACAAAACTTTCTTAGAATATGGACCTAAAATTCTACAACTACATTACAAACGAGGAGATAGAAATGTGGAGGTTTTATAAAAAATCGAGTTCAACACTCAGCAATGTTTGCTTCCACTTGATAGTTGATATCGCTAGAAATCTTTATCGTCACTACATTCATGTATAGTTTAAGGATTGGCCATAATAGGTTTAGCTATTCCAGAATATTAAGGGGTCGTTTGGAAGTTGCGATTGTTAGCATTGTATTTGTTAAATACATGCATTGTCCATAATACAACGTTTGGAAGTGTCAAGTTGCAAAACAATGCATGTATTATTTTGTGTGGGTCCCACCAACAATCAACAAAAATGAGGGATTGGACAATCTCAACTAAAAGCTGAGATTGTTGTGATTGTTGGTTTAATAATTGAGCACATTTACTTTTTCCAATTATGTCCATAGTTCTTTTTGTTTTATATTAAAAGTGGAGGACAAATATGACATTTCCTTATAAAGTAACTTTATAACAATCAATTCATAAATTATAATCTCAACAACCAAACAATGTAATTTCAAAATGCATCTATTGTATCAATGCATGCATTTATATCATAGTGATTCATAACAATACAACGATTTAAGATACACAACTTCCAAACGACCCCTTATTGTCAAGAGGAGCAGAGAATCGAAACTAAGTGTTTTTTCTTCTTCAGAATATGAATTACTCCGATTGAAAATTTCATTTTTGGTATAATAAATCAATGTTATGGTAACCAAATGACAAGAAATGAGCCTCAATACAATCCCTATGTTTGGCCCGGCTTTTAGAAGTACTTTTCGGGTTCAAAAGCTGAAGCAGGACCAAACACCTATAAAAGCTCGACTTTTGAAAAACCGAAAAGCGCTTTTGTATAACATAAAAGCAGAAGCTCCGATTTGGAGCTTCTGCAAAAAACTGTTTTGAAAATACAAGATTATCCTTACCATATTTTAATTTTATTTCAGAAAATATAATTTTCCTTCATTTATATCATTTTGAAAATAAAATAAAATATAAAATCATATTATTTAATATAAAAGAAATCTAACAAGATCCATTTTGACTACTTTTTATTGTTTAGAATTTTTATTCATATTTTATATTATAAGTCCTTTATAGTCATTTTACACAACCTCTTATATTAAAAAGCACTTCTAATAGTTTTACAGTCAAACACTCAACTGCTTTTTTTTTAAAGTACTTATCTAAAAACTCCAACAAGAAGCTGCTTCAGCTCAAGATGGCGAGTTTGATCACTTGTACGAACATATAAAAAATTATTATTCGTTGACCAAATTTTACATCTGTCCTATAACAAAATCAAAAGACTTCGAATCCGTCTATGAACTATGATTATGAAGCGACACTCTGACTCCGTCTTACGTCTCGATCTAATTCATACCAGATTTTCCATATTGCTAATTAACTTACTTTAACTTATATTCATAAAGGCAGGGGAAGTATGCAATTATGCATATGTAGTAAGCAATACACACAAACCAAAACACACATAAGAAGAAAGAAGGAAGAAGAGTAACCCTAAACATCAGGGTTTTCACATAAAACAGAGTAATTAATCACACATGACAAATTTCTAGGGGCATTTGGGCTTGCCCTTGGAGTTCTTCATGTCTCTGTAGCAAGGGCACTCGTCCTTGTTGCCAGAAGTCCCAGAGGGCACGCACTGGCACTTGTCGCAGCAGATCCCGCAGTACTTTAGGCACCTGTCCTTCATCCCTGCTTTCGAGCACCTTACCCCGCACTTCGAGTCGCACATATCTGTTCGTTTCGTCGTACCACAAGAATCGCCGTTCATTTCCAGAAGTACAGAATTGCCAAGTAAGTAGCGTGGTGGCAAATGGCGATTGTAATTAACTACGTACCTGAGCCGGCGACTGCCACATCGAAAACAGAGGAGGCGAGCATAAGGCAGAGCAGCAGAAGCGTTGCAGCTGTAACGGACTTCATTGTTTGAAAGTGAATGAAAGTGAATTTGGGTTTGTGGTTTTCTGGGTTTTGCTAGGAAGGAGTGAATGTGGAGAAGAGAGAAAGGTTGTTTGTGTTTATAGGACGACGAGGAGGGGGATAATAGGCCGTAATATGAAGGGTACGTGAGACGGTCAGGAGGAGGAAAGTGGCCGCTGCTTGAAGGAAAAGGATTAATGAACCGAACCGGACCGACCAAAATTGCCTTCCAGACTGTTTTATAGGGTTTTTAATCTTTGAGATTTCAATTTGAAGGCTTCAAGTACTCTATATCGTATTGATAATATAACTTGTGACAGAGGAATACGGTGTTGAAATAATAGGAAGGATGTTGAGTTATTTTTTTATATTTGAGATTTTGTTATGATTGTTGTAAGTTATACAAATAACTTATTGTAAGTTATTTGGACCAATATTATTCACCTGAAAACCTCATCCAAAAAGATCCCTTAGAGTATTTGATCAATTTGTTGTATTTGGGCAATTTACGTATACAAAGAGAGTAATTAATCATTATCAAATAAATATGCGGAATAATCTAAACTAAAAATAAAAATATACAGGATCTTTTGGATGAGGAATTCCGATCGAATTTACCTCTTATAAGTTATAACTAATTTTCACAATTCAAATAAAATAACATACTTAAATAACTCTAATACACTAAAATGAAATTATTTTATTTTTTTATGGGAAAATGGTGATTTCTTATTGTTTAGTCAACTCAATTTACAACGTAAAATTGAATGTAATTCTGAATTATACTCATATTCTATTGGAAACTAATAATGGCAGATGACTTTTAGGGATAGAGTTCGGATCACTCTGGAACCTTATTGTTCCTAAAACGTCTACTTGCCTTTTAATTTTCTGATGATGGGGCACATATATATGTAGAGTATAATCACCACTATGCCTAAATCCTAATTGAATGATTGTGTGGCTTCTAAGTAAAAAATTCATGTCATACACAAAGAGAGGAACAACGATCATATGATGGTCTCTCTTTCATTTCACTCAAAAAGTCTTGGGATTTTTTCAGAAATAGCACTGTTTAATTTTTTTTTTCCAAAAATAGCACCCTTTCCCAAAAACCGCTCCCTACCAGTGCGGTTTAGGCAAAAGCCGCACCCCTAGGGGGCGGTTTTGCAGATCGCACCCCCACCATGCGGTTTGGTTGCAGACCGCACCCCCACCATGTGATCTGTTTTTTTTTTTTTTGAAAAATCCTAACCTAGGTGGAAACTTCAAACGGACGTATCTTTGTGTTCGGGTATCCGATCGTCGCGAATTTTTTTTTATTCCGCATAACTTTTTGAGATCTTGCAAGCCGAAGACTGCCGAATGTGGTTTGGTCCCGCCTTCGTCCCACAAAATGTCGTTTGCTACCCCGAACGAGCTTATTTCTGATTTCGTCAAACTTTGGACAACCATAACTTTGTGCTCCAAAATCCAAACGACATGAATTTTTTTTATTTCGCATAACTTTTTAAGGACTACAATTTTTACTAGAATGAATTTTCAAAACAGGAATTATTTTGGATATACAGGATTTTGCAACCAAACCGCATGGTGGGGGTGCGGTTTTCATCGAAAAAAGCGCCCCTGGGTGGTGGTTTTCGCCTAAACCGCACTGGTAGGGAGCGGTTTTTGGGAAAGGGTGTTATTTTTGGAATTTTTCGGACTTAGGTGCTATTTTTGGAAAAATTTTTTAAACAGTGCTATTTCTAGAAAAATCCAAAAAGTCTTCGTAGATAAGTTAATAATTACGAAAATATCATATTATATTTCACATTTTTTCTATGCAATCTTAAAAAGGAAAAAAAATTTATTTGTTGACTATACAATATTACTATTTAAATGTGAGCATTTTTTTTTTGCATGATTTGTGTTTTCATGGAAAGCGTAAATCTTCATTTGTAACATCGAAAACCTAAAATCACGAACCCTTGCTCAAGCAACGTAATTGCTCTGTTGTTGTCTGTTATTGTCCCGCCATGAAGAATGAAAAGGTTGAAATAGACTATTAGCATTTAGTCTTTGTAAAAAAAAAAAAAACTATTAGCATTTAGCAATTTTCTAAACGCCTATAATTACAATATATTATGGTACAAGGTAGCATGAAGGAGATTAATGCGAGACACAAGATATCATAGTTTATCTGAATCGCTAAATGTCGCCCTTAAAATTGCTAACGGTCGCTCTACCTCTAATGATAAATGACTTATTTACCCCCAATAAAATTTCAAAATTTAAACAAACCAAACAATCCCTAACCCTTCAAACTAAACCCCTCATCTGCCTTTTTCGCGAATCCCTCTCGACGCACCAGTTTGTCGGCGTCTTTCCCGCCGTCGTCGTCGCCATCTTTCCCGCCGTCGTCGTCGCCTGTTCTCTACGAAATTTCCAAAAAAATGCTCAACATAAGGCAAGTTACGGTTGGTCCATGGTGCAACCGCAAATGAGCTACGGTTCCCTTTTTTTATTTTTTTTTCAATTTTTTTAGTGAACTTTACCGATTCAGAGTCGCTAGTAATGATACAGACATCATATCGACGATTCCAACTCCGGAATGACGATGATGGATTCTCTCTTTTGAATAATGTTTTATTTTCTTTACTAAGAGGTGTTTGTTTGCTAAAGGAAGAGTAAAGTAGCTAAAAGGTTAAATTTGTAACTTTGATGTTTTTTAGGGCGACATTTAGCAATTTTAAGGGCGACCTTTAGCAACTCTCTAGTTTATCTGTGTCTTGTGAGAGAGATAAAAGATTTTGATTCAAAACACACTTGGAATACGGGTCGGACACAAAATGATCTGTGTTATAAACCAGTTGATCCCAATAATTAAAGTTGTTAAGAAAAAATTATGTTGGATCTTATAAATTATAACACTCTCTAACAATCTGTTAATTGTGTCCGGTCCTTAGTTTCATTGACAAAAGAGAACAACTCCCTTTTATTGATAGAGAGATTATTGCTTCGCCCTTTACAATTGCGACTGTTGTTATCGAAAAATACATTGTTTTTTTTTTTTTTTTTGTGTCAAAGTCCACCATTGATGCGTGGTGTGAAAAGCCAGCCTCTTAAATTAGAAGCCTCTGGAAAAAGGCGAAGAAGCAAATAATAGAGATTGACTGAAAGAAACGGAAAAGCTATAGCAAAACGCGTTATTACCGCTCTTCCTTTTTCTGTTATCCGATCCTTTTAAGGCAGATTATTAGAGCTATAGATTGCAAAAATGGTGAATGATGGTCGGCTGGGCTGGGAAGGGCTTTTGGCCTCTAACACTAACAGCGTGCCTTGTCACGCCATTTGTTGCAATCTAGCGCGAGCATGCTGTGTGTGTCAACAATCAACATAACCTTTTCTCTTACACCACGAAAGAGAAGCGGGTTGCAAATTTAGAGAAAATCAGAAATTAATTAAATCTAAAAAAATAATTCTGTTATTTGACAGAGAATTATTATTATTAGAATAATTAAACCGCAAGTTTACAAAAATTACAAAAAAAATTGAAGTTATTGTTCCTCAAGAATTTTTTTTTGGAATTTACTGTTCACGGAGGGATTTTATGATCGTCCACGGACAGTTCTAGGTAAGTCTGGGTTACCACATTGCACTGGGTTTCCTTATTATTGCCTACTATATTCACCATCTCATCTATTTGCATTACACATTAAAATTTTGGTAAGATAATTTAATCTTATTTAATAGTTTAACCAAATGTAAGATATGTTGTTACTTTTTTTTTTTGACAATATGTAATTTCCATTCAAATCAACGATAGGAGTACAAGCACAAGATCGGATTTAAAATGTCAAGCACTTGGATCCATTATTGAGGGAGAGATCCATTTGCCGCTTCCTTTGCCACCCAATCTGCACTTTTGTTAGTAGATCTTGGCGTGAAGAATAAACTCAATCCGATATGCGTCTGAAGGAGAAAGCGAATCCTCTGAATCCATGCTCTAACCTGCCAGGGACCAACTTTTTGCGGATCTTGGATAATGTCGACAAGCACTTTGCAGTCCGAGAAGATTGAAGCAGGACCGTGAAGGGAGGCTGCCATTCTCACAGCAATCAACAAGGCTTTAGCTTCCGCAACTATCGCTGAAGAACAAAAAAAGGTCCCAGCACTACCATCCACAACTTGCCCATGGGGGTTTGTAATGATGACCCCATATGCCGCCACCTGTGATTCTGATCTGAAGGATCCATCACAGTAAACTTCCCATTGGGAAGAACTAGGCGGTAGACTAAGTGTAGAATGGTCAGAAATGTGCTGAGAATGGGTTCCGTGGACCGATTGGACAAGGGGAGGAGTAGTCCAGAAATTGAAGTCCCTAACCGCATTTGCTGACGTCACAGCTGTCCGAGGGATGACACCTTTGAAGACTCTCTCATTTCTAGCAATCCAGATGGCCCACAAGCACACAACCACTGCATGAATTGAGACATTCGGGAGGCTTTCAAAGATGGCAACCAGCCACATGACCACTGGCGTTGAATCCTGAGGGATAGGAAGAGAAGGATGGTTAACCTGCCACACCCTTGCCGCATGGGGGCACCGAAAGAGGCAATGCCAAATATCCTCCTCGTTCAACTGACAAAGAGAGCAAAGCGGTGAAGGACTACATCTTCTTAACCAGAGATTCCTCTTTGTAGCAACCGCATTCCTCGAAATCCTCCAAATGAAAGAAATTATTTTTGGAGGCAATGAAAGACTCCATAACCATTTCCAGGCTTTTGAGGTGCAGTCAGGATGATTCGGGTTAGGGGTCCCCAATCGGTTCCGTTCTGACTCCCTGAAAGTATGGTACCCTGATTTCACTGTGTAAATCCCCGATTTCTCAAAGTGCCAAACCCACTCATCGTCGGCGGAATCAATCCCAATTGGGATTCTCTTAATTGCCTCCACTTCCTCAATTGAACAAGTTTGTCGAATGAGATCCAGGTTCCATTCACAACCATCATCCATGATCCATTGAAAAGCCCAAAGCTGTTGACGATCGCTAGGGTGGATCTTAAAGTTGGGAAGCCCCGGGATCCAAGGGTCATTCTCCAAAGAGATCGTCCTTCCACTTCCCATGTTCTTACGAGCTCCCATCTTAAGATGGATTTAGCTTCACAAATGCTTGACCAAATCCAAGAAGGTTTACGCCCCTTACCGGCCTCCATGAAGTCACCATAAGGAAAAAGATATGTTGTTACTTGATTTTATTATTAAACACACATTATGGAAGATGATGTAACATGTTCTATAATAGTTATTAAAATACAGTCCATAAGAACTTATGAAGGTTGGTGGAATAGTTATTTCTCATGTTCTATAACAAGTCTTCCTTAAGCAAAGCGAGGGCCACAAAACCAGTGTCTTATTAGAGGACGAGAGATTCAATCAACTATAACATTAATCTCTTCCATATATTTGATATTTTTCTAGTTTTAGAAATTAGAAAGTATAAGGCTTTAATTAAAGGCGAAGACGGACTCCCTTATAAAGATGTTATAATTCGACATATTTCTTGTCGGAAATTTTTGTGAGAGATCCAAGTTGTTGAAGATAATTATTCTTAGTAAGCCATTAATATATATAAAATACCAACCAAAGTACTTAAAAATCATATTGGAGACCATAATAATGTCATATATATACCGAATACCGATCATTATATAGAATAAATGATGAAGTAAATAATTTGAGAGAAACCGCGTTAGTTATAACTTATATATATATGGCATTGCATGGGGCCAAATAGTTGCTGGCAGCTGGTGCGTCTGTCGTACATGCATGGTGTGAAGTTTTTCTTCTTCTTTTTTATAATTGTAATGACGTGTCGGGAGAAGCCGAACAAAGATGGAAATTTACCAAACTTCTAACCTTATCTCTCCCTCTCTCCTTCATTGCCTAGTTGCTCTTATTCTGTTTGAGTGACGATCTGCGTTTGGCAATTGGCAGCGGTTACAATTTGATTATCTTGAATCATATTTAAATAAAGCTACAATTATAAGTTAATTAATCAAAAATATTCTCACTACCAAGAATCAAGTGGAGTACAATATTATTGGTTTATTATAGCGGTCATAATGTAATTTGTTCATATAAAAAAGAAAATTAGAGATCAAAATATTGAGTTCTACTTCAGTAATCACTACAGATAGGTGCCGAATGGGTATTTGAATGCTTATTATGGATGGTTGTATGTATCTTTGTTGACTTTCACAACAAATTGTTAAAATTCATATTGAATTTTAGTGCATTAATTTTAGGCAAAACAATTATTGAATGTACCAGATTCTAAGGAAATGGGTAAGTACCAGGCATGCATGGTATCTCCCAACAACTCGAGTTATTGGGACCAGTTGGTTTATAACATGGTATTAGAATTGGTTTGACCTTGAAGTCACGTGTTCAAATCCTAACTACCCCGATATTAATCGTTGCCTTTAGACACATGGTATGTAGGGCAAGTGCAAACTTCAAGCCCATTATTGAGCTTTCATTTAAGGGACGTGCAAGAAAGTATTTGAGACCAAAAATAAGGCGACAAACTCGCATGAGTATGGGACGAATATAAATTTGTAACGACTAACGAGTCAACCAATCCCTGCTTGGCACAGCGTGGAGAGAATCAGAGAATGTTTGGGCTAAAGCCCCATTTCTGCGGGCCACAATTTCCTCCAGTCTGTTTCTTTTTCGCCATGCTGGGCCTCAATTGTTTGTACTCCAAATCTATCTTCAACAAGCTTCATATAAGGGCTCTAGCCTCTGTGTGCTTCTTTGGGTAAAGAGTAAGACAGGGCCCGAACTCCAAACTATCTTCCCACTACATTTCCATGAGACCATGACGTCAAGATTGGTTCAATTATTCGAGACATTAGTGATATTTTGGATGAGATGGGTGGATTTAAGGTTGTGTTCATTGGTGGCTCATCATGTACCTTGTTATGCTCTGTTGTTGTCATCTCATGTGTTGAAGGAGTTCGATTTCATTTCTTGAGTTCACAGAAGATCGTAGTTGTTACAGTTTGTGACTATGTATCCTTGTTCTTTCCTTTTTTTTTAAGATTGTTCGATTGAAGAAAAAAAACATCTTCCCATTACACTTTATTTAAAGTATTAAATGACAAGGCATCTTGGTCTGTTGCGGAACCAATGGAAAAGACCCGAGAGAAAGGGGCGCTTGTAGGACCTCTTATCAGAGGTCTTCAATCAGAAATTATCGGGATGATGATTAGATGTGAGTTGGATATTCTTGACTCGCAAGGGAAGATTCTCGAGCTAGAGGGGTATGATCATTCACCCGTCCATGTTTGGCGATTACCCACCGTCATTTAAAGGGAAATGGCGCTAGTTTATAAAGCAATCTAATAGGGAAAACTTATTATATGCCTGTTTGATATAAGGGTTTGTTTGCGACTATCAGTCCATTTGTATATTGAGGGCCCCTTCTTTCAGTTCCAGGTCTTGCAGTTTCTCCAGTTCCTCTGTGGACCGAGTGGTGCGGATAAATATTTGTTCGGCATGCCGACCAGGTCTTCAGGTTGACTACCGTGGGTTTTTCTTATCTTGGGCCCAACAAAAATTAGAGGGTACTAAACCCTAGATTTCATATTTAACCACTCCTTACGTTGTTGATTCTAAGCACTTTGGAAATAATATATTCAAGGTAAATTTCCAGCCTCATAAAACCGGTGATAGATTAGATGCTAAAATAGAATATATAAACGCTAACATGAAATATCCTGGTACTATAGGGCCTTGTCTGCTCCAAGAGTTAATTCCTATTTAAATTTTTGGAGGTTTTTTACTTTGAACATAATAAATCGCATCTAACTTGCATATCAATCGAACAAGATCCTTCACAAAAATAAGAAATTAAACCTATAACGGTGAATCAAAACTTGTAAAAGTAAAGATCTCTCGTAAAATAAATAGGTCTAATCAACGGATCGATATGAGGTTAAGTTAAATGCACATTTAGCATTATTGCATTAACCTAACCATTTTGTCCATTTGTTAGAAAAGCTAGAAGGAGAAAAAGAATGGGAACGCGGGGCAGGCAAGGTGAACATAGATTAGGCTGTGATAAGGTGTAAAGCCAAGCAAAGTCAGATTCTAAGCCTAATCTCTTCCACTACGTACTCCCTAAAAAAAGAGATTGCTCATAATTTTAATCAAATAATTGTCGCCTTCCTTTCTGCAAAAGATCAGTAGTTAAGCTGTCTGAATAAAACCGAAAATAATGAAAAGAAAGATTTCATTAATGATAAAGTTAGCCGACAACTGAGGGCTCAGCATTATCACTACCAAGTTTTTAGGTCCAATAAACACAGCCAACTCATGTACTGGAACTTAAATGGTCAATAAAAAGATGATATATGTTGTACAATGTGGATAGTAATTGACTCGTTTGGAGTAAACGAGAAAGTAATAATAGAGAAATCACTGAACTCGAGATTAGAATTTTTGATGATAGTGGGTTAAAATGGCGTGGGGAAATCGGTCATGAATGTTCATCTCTACAGCCACCCGCCCTCCCGGCCATTTTTGGCAGTGCATGCTTAGCAATTAGCTAGCATTGAGAAACAATGAAGGGGAATAAAGTTTTGGCAGATGAGATAAAAAAAAAAAAAAAAGATAGGAAGAAATGATGGCATGCACACAAAGAGAGAGTTAGACAAGTACTAGAACATGAAGATAAAGGGGTGCTGGAAATTTTATGAGAATACATAAAGGGGAAGAAGAGGTTGCTTGAACTCAAAGGCAACAAGCTTGAAGATCGTTGCCCTGGTTTAGCTGCGTATATACTTTACTATTAAAATAAAATATATAAACTATCTATCATAATGAAGAATGAAGATTGGCCGGGCCCATAATAATGAAAGAATTTTACAATACTCTAGGAATTTTCTTTTTTTTATGGAATACACTAGGAATTGGTGTTTTGGTTTTTTGTCTTTATGGTACAAGTTAATTTAATATTTTGATACAACTTCGGGTTGTAATTATACTTTTTTGTAAAATTCCATTTATGGTACAAACTAAAGTTGTACTTTTATGCTATTGTACAACTTCAAGTTGTACATTAAAACACCAATATTTTAAAGCATAGTAAAAGTGCTCCATAATAGTTTGCAAACTTCAGTTTCATATGAGTAGACTTCCTTTTAGGAAGTTTTTTAGTAAATAGTATACGATCCATTACTGAATCGCTCCCAAGAACTCGAGTGTTTTGGACCATTTGATTTAAAACAAAAATATCATGATATAATGTTCTATTAAGCGAATAAATTTGTTGTATAGTTCAATAATATGGATGTTATCATGTGTATCTTCTTCTTGGCTTGTAAGTGAATTTTGTAAGCGAATAAATATTATTTGATTGGATTGATCCATAGAATGCGGAAAAAATTTAAAACTACCACTTTAAAAAAAATTACAAAAATACCACTCATTCTCAACAATTTCCAAAAATATCACCCTTCCACACATAACGCGCCTCGAAGGCGCGGTTCACTGTCAAAACACGTCGCCACGTGGCGGCCCATGCAACCGCGTGATGGGCAGACGATCTGACGGCCAAACCGCCTGCCAGCGCAACGATCCGCGTCGCTCAGTCAAACCGTTGCGCCGAGGTGCAGTTTGCGCGTTGGGGAACGTAAACCGCATGCTGGAGGCGCGATTTTGCGTGGGGTAAAAAGACCAAACCGCCCTCGAGCACGCGGTTTCGTCCCTATATAAACCCCACCCTCCTCCCATTTTCTGCACACCAAACCCCCATTCTCCCTCTCTCTAAGTTCCTCACTCTACCCACCCCCCTCCCCACCCAAAAACCTTAGAAGTAGTTGTTTTGTTGGTTGCGGCTAAATCCGATCTGCCTTCAAAAAACTTTTTTTTTATTTTCACTAAAAAACCGTCGAATCTCTGTCCGGATTCTGAAAAAATGGCCGATTTTATCCAAGAAGAGGGTATTTACTATGATGATTATCAAGCGGTACGTACTCATTTTACCCTATTTTTGTTGTTGTTATAATGATTTATTTAATTTATATACCAATAGATTTGTGTTGTTGTTATGCTATCGTAGGTTGGGGCAGATGTTGATATATACAATCAACGATATTATGTTGATCAAGGACTGATTGATCCT